CCATGGATTGGTTCCTAATCCTCCTCCTCCATCACCACTCACTCACTCTCTCTCTTTCTCTCCTCTTTTTCTTCTCCATTGTGAAAAGAAAACCCAATACAAAATATCAAAGAAATCCCATTATTCTGTCCTAATTTTTGCGAACTCTCTTAATACTTGCACACAACAATGACTTCAACTATGTTCTACAGTTCACTAAATCCGTCAATAATGCTTTTCTCAAGAACCCACTTCCTAATTCCAATCTCTTGATATTTCTCACTTGAATTATTACACCATGTGAACTCTAATTACGGTTTCAAAAGCAAAGAGAATTATTACACCTTGGAATCAACTCTCACTTCGTCCTTCTCATATAGAAGTAAAATCTCTCTATCTCTCTCTCTCTCTCTCTCTCTCTCTCTCTCTCTCTCTCTATTTCTATCTATATACATGTGTATGCATATATGTATATTTTTGTGATTTTATTGTGTGCATGTGCTTGTATGTAATTCAGAACCCTAATTGTGAATGGGACAAAGTTCCTTTGTTGCCCTCTTATTTTCTTCTTTGACTTCTCTGGTTTGGTTAAAACAATTTTCTCTAATTTAAAATTGTAAATAAACAACACAGAGAAATTTGTGAAGAAAGCCAAAGAAATTCTCTGTGAACAAAGCTTGAGAAATTTCAATTTCTCTAGTTTGAACCTAGAAAAATTCTCTGCACGTATTTTTCTGGTCTTCCCAGAATCTCTAGACTGGAATCCAAAATCTCTAGATTGGAATTCAGAGAAATTTTGGAAAGGCCAAAGAATTTCGCCGAATTCCAACCTAGAGATTTTCTTTGAATTTCCAAAGAATTTCTCTAATTTTCGCAAAAATTTCTCTGGGCTTAAATCAAAAAATTTCTCTGCCTTCTCAATCACGATGTGCAATACACAAAATCGATCACCTAAATAAGCAATAACAACCAATATACATGTATGTATATATATATATATATAGAGAGAGAGAGAGAGAGAGAAAGACTGACTATCTGACTGACTGAAAAGAGAATTTCTCTGGGTTCAAACTAGAGAAATTCAAAGAAAATTAAAATTTCTCTGACTTTATTCACAAATTTCTCTAGCTTTATTCACAAAAAATTTAAATTTTTCTGGCTTTATTCACAGAGAATTTCTCTGGCTTTCTCTGGGTTCAAACCAAAAAAAATTGAAATTTCTCTGAGTTCAAACGAGAGAAATCCAGAGAAAATTGAAACTATTAAAGGTATATACAATATGTACCAATAAGGATTTTGAGGAAGAAAGATCTTACCAAGGACATATATGAAGCAGCCCTCCATGTTCGCACTGTAAAGTCTTCATTAACTCACATAATGCACAACATTTTGGCCTAACTTGTTCAATCTGCTGGCCTATTTGCAGCTGTAAGAGTAGTGAGTTCATAATGGTTTCAAGCTTCACATCTTTCATATCTTTGGCACATATCTTTGGATTCTTAACCATTTTAAACTCGTGCATGACATTCATTTCTAATCAGTGATCACCCAACTCTCAGCACTACATATTGGGGACAATTGCACCCTCATTGTGAAATATCAAACATCAAGAATTGTTTATGCCTGTTAATTTTGATTCCATAATTCGTCTCTGTAAAATATTGTAGCTATCTTCTGTATGTCCCTTTTTAGGTGTAATTTGCAATTTAGAGCAGAGTACCAACATATCAAAAGGATCTAAATGTTTGTGGATCTTTGAGCTCAAATTTAATGGCGGACCGACAAAATTGAAGCTCTCTGCTTCTTCAGTTGTCGTTGAAGAAACACCCATACCCACTGAGGTTCTCTCTCTCTCTCTCTCTCTCTTTCTCTCTCTCTCTCCAACAATGACGACACCCAAATGGTTAAATTCGGTCGATTCTCACTTGCAAAGGCCTCAGATCTCTGATTGGAGGAGATCTGAGGAGAGAGAGAGAGAGAGAGAGAAAGACTTGTAGATCTGGTGTGGCGGTACTGTGCAACGTTCGGAACTAAATGTGTGTATGTGTGTGTGTGTGTGTGTGTGTGTGTGTGTGGTGTGTGTGTGTGTGTGTGTATGTGTGTGTGTGAGAGATCGGAGACAGCAGTGGAGAGGTGCTGACGGTGAGAGAAGCAGCAGCAGAGATGAGAAAGAGACAGAGAGAATGAGAATATGTGAGATATATGGGATGGGTGAGGACCTTAGACATCACAAAATCATATTGTGGACCTCTCCCATTATTAAAAATTGAAGAGGGACCTTAGACTAATTTTCTCAACCAAAAAAAAAATCAAGATTGCATTCCACAACTTTCCATCATTAAATTCTACCTGAACATATTTTTATTGAGTGATGATATACAAACATAAATTTTCTATAGAATTTTCAAACGCAGTGATATTGCTTAATGGTGACATTTCACTTTAAAATAAAACACCCATAAATATGATTTATATTTACAATAATATCACTATCACAATATTTTTATGATATTTTTTGTATAAATTTTTATATATGAATATAATTTTTCATTTCTATTTTCACCATTATACCCAGATTAGATTAGTTTAATTTAGATATATTTAAAAAGTATAAAATTTTTGCAAAAAACTTAAAAAAAATCCATTGAATACAATAAAATAAGATAATGTATTGAATTTTTATATGTTTATATATATATATATATATATATATTTATATTTGGTGAATTTGAAAAAATCACAAAATATTATATTTCTTAAGTATATTTTTATTAGGACTGGCTTCCCTCTATTCGTGATCGTGTTGGGTTGGTGGGGCCTCATCATGGGTCCCGTTTCGATAATCTGAATCGTTCAATGTGTAAAACTCGTCGAGTACTATACGTCTATAAAAAATTACGTTAATCGGATATCGATAACCACATAATCAAATCATTTTGTATAAAAAAAAATGAACGGTAAAAAAATAAACGGTTGACAAAAATCTGATCCAATGAGATAACTATCATTACCCGATCAATGTGATTTTTTACAGACATATAATACTTGACAAGGTTTACATATTGAGCGGTTCGGATTGTGGAAACGAGATTCGTGGTGGGCCTCCACGGGCCCAACAGTACCCTTCAGTTTGATCACGGATTAGAGGGAAGCTCAGCCCATCTAGATTAGGTATATTTAAAAAACAAAAATACAAAATTGCTTAAAATATTAAAAAATTTAATAAAAATAAAAAAATAAGAAAAAATTTTAAAAATTATTTTTTTGTATTAGTTAAACCAAAGAAGATGATTGTTATTTCTATTGAAATGACATGAATAAAATATTTGTATTATTTTATTATTTTATATGTATAAAGGCTGAGGGACAAAATTTTAATATGACAGATGGATAAGTGTAATTTTTTAAATGTGAATGGAGATTTGTATTAAATGAAAATCTCAAGGGGGTGTCTGTGTAATTTATTCTAAAAAATATAATTATGAAAATTGATGTTCTAAATTTTTTTTCTACTTTAATTTTAAATTAAAAGGTAATTTTAAAAATTTAATATTTTAAAAATATAATAATTATAGGAAAAATTATCAGTAAATCCCAATTGAAGAAATATTGCTCCATTTAGTACTGTGTTTTTTTCTTATAAACCATTTGGTTATATTTAGCTAGTAAGGAATATTTCCTTTTGGTTTGTTCTAGTGAGGGTTTACCTATTTAACCTTTTGGTGGGATTACGGTGGATTCTACTTTGCTGATGTATTGGATGTGTGTTTAGGGGAGGAGGGGGTAACGTTTTTACATTGTCACTTTTCTGTGTGTTTTTGACAGTGATTTACGGTGTAGGAAATTTCATTTTTTGATGTGGGTTTCTTGCAACATGGAAATCGTGTCTTACTGTCTGAAAGTCTGTGGTTTTGCTATGGTTTTCTGGTACCGACGGTGATCGGAGTCGATTTTCTGTTCTGACATTAGTCTGGGTTGTTGTGTTTAGCAAGAGTGGTTATTTTTTGTTGGGGGGTTTTGGGTTGATGATTTTGTGGCATGTTGGCATGTTGTGGTGTATTGTGTTTTTGTTTCATTTATTCTTTAATGGAGGATCTAGGAGGGGGGAAGCTCTGTTTGTTTTTTTGTTTTTTGTTTTGTAGGTATGGAGGTCCAATTTTGTTGCTATGTACCTATGGCCAAATGTATGGTGGGAGTGGAAACAATATTCGAATTGGAAACAACGAATAGGGGTTCAACATTACAAACTCAAAAAATTAGCACACACACCAATCGTCACCGGATTTACATTGCCATTCTAAATGTTACTGTGTTAATCTCTTCCGCGATGATCGCATAGGAGGAAAAAACAAAAAAAGCTATAGTACACTTTTTGGGTACATTTGTCAATTCAATATTGTACAATCCCAATATTACCCCAGAACAAATGAGGCAACACACGCTAACATCATGTCCAAAACTGTCCTTACCTATCAAATGGGACTTATTGGTTCATAAGATTAAACATAGGACTAAATAGTGCAAAATATTCTATTTTGGAATTTATTGATGCATTACCCATAATTATACTATTAAAAAAAAGGTTAAATTTAGCTATCAATATTTTGGAACCGATGGAGTAAAAATTCAATTCACCATCTTGAGTTGCCTTGCCTACATAGATAAAACTTTCAATTAAAAAAAAAAAACCTTTTTAAAAAACTTTGTTAATTGAATTTTTTGATTTGTTATTTTTTTATTTAAAAATAATAATTTAATAAAGAAAATAAAAACCTTATTTTCAAATATATTTTTCGAGAGTAAAAATAAAATTTAAAAATATCTTATTGGGTTTTATTTCATCGTACTAAATTTAAAATTTTCAAAAAAAAAATCAAAAAAACAAGTTTTGAAAAACTCAACCAAATAATTTTTTCAAAAATAAAAAAATTAATTTGAAATACTTTTTTAAAAAATATAAAATATAAAATTTGTATAAAAAGACAAACATGAAAATAGTTGTATATTCCTTCATTTTATTCAATTTTATTTTGATCAAGAAATTGCAGAAGACACAATCTTGAATAGGAGAAGGAAGGAGAGGGAGAGAGAGAGAGAGAGATGTTACAGTACCCGGCGTTCATGACTCAGTACCCATGGTCGACGACGATGATTCCGACGTCGTTTCTGCTGCCAGCTCAGTGGCCTCAGCCCCAAAACGACGAGCTCCTCCTCGCCAAGGAAGAGTCCGATTTCGAAGACAAGGTCTTTTTCTTGTTCGTATTCATATGTACACATACTCATATTCTATTGATTGTATGTGAAGTAGTAGTATGTGTAAAGATCCATTCCTTCATTGCTTCACTTAACCCTAAATTTGTGAGTTTTGAGTTGCACAATTTCAATGCCTCACACTGTTAAGAGTTATTGCTGTGTAAGACCATCTCCAATCCTTCACCAATTTTTTCATCTAATTTGGTTTCAAGTCTGAGCAGAAAGCTTGATTTCATATGAACTAAATTTTCATCAAAATTTTCCTTTTCATCAAATCTGATGAAAAAAAGGGTAAATTATACTTTGCCGATATAAGTTTGGCCACTTTCCCAGTTTGACTTATGAAGTTTATTTGTTTTTCTGGCTTTGTTCACGTTTTTTTTCCAATTTACTCTTACGCCTCGTTTGGCAAGCGGCTATTTTAGTCAAAAAGTCAAAAAAGTCACTAAAAAAATCAAAAAGCCAACAACTCATACAAAAAGTTAAAAATTTCTTCTCTCTACTTTTTACACATCTTTTCGTAAAAAGTCAAAAAATCATCCCAAAGTGGCCTTGTTTGGTTTGTGTTTCTCAAAAAATTTTGGGAAAAATTCTCTATAAATAAGTTTTCAAAAGTAGTCAAACCAAACAAATTTTTTCAAATTTTTTTTTCAAAACTTGTTTGGTTTACAAGTTTTCCAAACAAATCTCTCTCTCATACACATCAAATCAATCACTTTTTCCAAAACTCTCTCTCAAAATAATTTTCAAAACATCTTTTGAAAAAAACCAAACCAAACAAATTTTCGTACTTTTTATCTCAAAACATGTTTCTCAAATACAAACCAAACAAGCCAGTTTTTTTTACATACAAGAAATGATACATTGACAGTTATAAAAAAATATTTTATTATATATAACTAATTACTTTGGCATAAGCTCAAATTCTAATGTAATAATATATATATTTTTTATATTATATGACAGTTATCATGACATTTTCTATGTAATTTTGAACAAAAATTAATTTTAGGAATAAATTGGAAAAAACTTGGGCCACAGTGGAAAAATGGCCAAATATAAAGGGGGCAAAGTATAATTTAACAAAAAAAAAATCATCTATAATACTTCATCTTTTTAAATTTTCATTAAATTCTAATTTGATAAGTTCTCAATTTGATAAAGTCTTTTCTTTTGATTTGATGAAACGATTGGAGATGAATTTTGAGCACTTCTTCATCAAATTTAAATCTGATGAAAGAAAAAGTGAAGGATTGAAGATGACCTATTCTTAATCCACATATAATTTTGCTATACCTCAGGTATCTGGGTGAATTCAAATTACTTTGGGATTGTACGGGTATTTAGAATTGGGGTTACAAGTAAGACTTATGATTCCATGATGTAGTTTCTTTGATTTCTCTCTTTTTGTGTGTGTGTGTGTGTAAATTATGATAATGTAGTTGGGCTTTTTATGGTTGTGATATTGCTGTGGAGCGATTCAGGGTTCTGAGGGTTATTGCTATATACACATATATACTAGTGGTGAGTGCAAATTACATCTAAATTTTTGGACAATTAATTAATTTGATGAATGATGAATAATAGGTTAGTTGTTATTTTATGGGCATTATTGGAAAATAAAAAAGCATGACAAAGCTTATGAGTTGTGTGCCATCTTGTGTATACATGCATAAACTTGTGCATATACTTTGCATATATACAAGCATGGATAGAATGCAAAAATAGTGTTGTATATATGACAACTTTTTACACATGTACATACAAGATAAGGCGAAGGAAGAACCATATTTTGTAATCATTTTTGAAGGAAGACCCAAACACTACTCAATAGTTTGGATCTAGTGAAATGATCATAGCAGAGGAAATTGATGAATTTTAATGGATGTGGTTGTGTTTAAGATGACTTTTTACATGTCCACACAACATGAGATGAAGGAAGAACTATATCTTTTAATCATTTTTGGTACCTATGCTGTGCTCATTTTGACCAAGAATTTGTTGAAAGGTTGCTGTTGTTTGACACCTAGTACCAAAATCATAAGAGTAGCTTATTTTTTCCTATAAAAGAGAGAGATGATTCAGCACTTCATTGTCCCCTAAATTGCTATGTGTTAGTCCACAGTTTTTCCTAGGTGTTCCTCCAAGAACCCAGTTATTTGTCCAAATTAAATAGATTAGACTCAAAACTTTGTGGAGATGGATTTTCGCACTGTTTTAACACTGAAGCTATAGAATAGATAATAATTGCACGAGTTGCATTGGATTTAAGATTTAGTGGCTATAAAGTTATGAGCAAAGAAACACGGACATGGACATGAACATGAACATGGAACACAATGATTTTAAAAAAATTAGAATATGAACGTGGCGGGAATAAAACAAAAAACACTATATATATTTACACTTTATATGAATATAAATTTAGGGCACATAGATCTGAGGTGTGTCCAGACATAGGATACACATGTCCGCGAAATGTCCCCAACTTATCTTACAAAAATTAACAATTAAAGAAGTAACACATCATGGGTGTCTCCGGTGCATGGACACGAGTGTCCATGCCATGTGCTGTCCAACTGACACGGACATGACACCCATTTTGGAGTCTCTGCTTCCTAGCCTGTGAGTGTGTCAAATAAGAATCACAAGATATTTGATGGTTGAACAGGGATTGGGCATTTATAAATAATTTTGTAGGCATCATCACATTGCAGTAATTTGCATTTGAACATCAAGTATAAATTCAAAATAGTTGCTTTTGAAAAAAAATGAAACCAATTGGTGGTTACCACCTTGTTAGGTGAATATTCAAAGATGAACATCTGATGGATGGCCAGAGCTAGTTTGTTAGTTGAAGCAATTTTCATAAACAAGAAATTAAATTTGGAAACTTTTAAAAGACGTTAGTGAGGGTGGATTGCCAATGAGTTATAGTCACCTATCCATTTTTGTTATTTTAGAAGTAATTTATGGAGGATATCGATAAATTTTATTTCACTTTGTGACTGTTATATAATGCAAGAAACATAGATTATGCTGCTGAATCAAAAATGAGTTGCAAATGAGGCATTACTAAACTTTTCCAATGAAGATGATCAATCTAAGTAAATTAAAAAAAAAATTGGAACTGGATCAGAATTATGCAGTTGCAAGGACTATGTTCTTTCACATCTAAAGTTTGAAGCTTCGTATTGAAAATGCAATGGGCATGTGTGGGAAAAACAGTTTATGGTTGTATGAATGTTTTATTCCTAGTTAAACTTTTATATTTCATGCACATATGTACTAAGTTGCTTCGAGTTCGATGTTCTTACATAGAAGTTCAGTGGTATTCTTATCTCATCCTTCAAATCTAGTTGTAAATAAGGGATGAAACAACAAATTTATTGTTGTACATTGAATATTGACTTGTGAATTCTGTGCTTGACTAAGGAAAGAATTGAAGCTTCTAATGTTACCTTGTGGACTCTAGAGTTTGCATCCATTGCGCTGGTGATTTCTTAGTTTCACTTCTTCATTAAAATAAGTTTTAATTTCTTAAATCAAAGCCCAGATAGGTTTTTAGTTGTTTTTCTAGTTTTATAAGTATTCAGATTTTTAAAACCGGTCCCTTAACTTCTTTCTGCTCATTAAAGAGTAAAGCAGTTGCCAGAAATATTTGCCGAAATGCCCTCTCCTATGTGTTTTCAGTGGATTTGCTGCTTATACATTCCATTCCATTCCATATATGGAATTGACATCTGCATATATGAGTGTATTAGTGTAGAGAGTATATAACTTTACATCCTATGAACTTTAAGGTGTGCAAATTTCATATTTGATTTTTCAGGCAGATCAATAGAGACTTTATTTAACTTAGGTTGATCTAGGCCAGAGGCAGACCTACATCAAGATGACTCTTTTTTCGAAACAGTTTGGCAGTACTCATGGATCAAAATGCAAATAATGAATCAGACAGCCCCATTTCACATATAATTATCAGAAGTGCGAATGTTATGCATGTGATTGGATGATGTATTAGGTATTTCAACTTCATTACATAAAAAACTTAGGAATCAATATGCACACAAAAAAATAAAAATTCATCAGAATGATCGTGATGTGCAGATTTTCGTAATTTGTTTTTGTGACTGGTTTGTTGCTTGCTGACATGGGTATAAATTTATTCTTTTTCAGTGCAATGAAATCAGAATGACAAATAGCAACTTAATTGTGATTGGGAGGACAACGGTTGATATCGATAAAGAGGACTATGACAATGGTGCAGATGATGATGAAGCTGACAATGCAGAGGAGTCTGAAGGTGATGAATTTGAGCAGGAAACTGGTTAATTGCTTCATTATTCCATGCAGTACCTTTATTGATTTTGTTTGTTAGTTTTGTTTAATAAACAAAAACAAAACCAAAGCGAGTTATATTACTTTGAGGCATTGAGTTTAATGTCACACGCCTAACTACCTTCGTGTTCGCCTATATGTATCTACATGACTAAGGGCTTGTTTGGCATATGCTTTTTTAATAGTTTTTTTACTTTCTTCGTTTTGAAGTATGAAGTAGTTGCTAAAAAGGTTAATCAAATAGGGCGGATCCTGGTAAGAAAGTTTATTTATTTATTTTTTCAATTGTCAGCTTACTAAGTTGAAACCAACCAACTAAAATGTTCTGGGCTTAATTAATCAAAAAGTATTTTTTTTAACTGAAAACAAATGTAGTTGAAATTTCACCAGTCTCTTGGCCTTTATGATTCATCAATGTATTGAGTTGAAATTTCATAAAATTGATGAAGTTTTTCAAAACTATCAAATTCTAAAAGAGACTTTCTAACAATGGTTCACTCTTCATGATCCATCCAGGAATTGTATAGAGAACAGTTGAGATATTTAACTGGGGAGGGAGAGGTTGGGATGGCACAAATACAGGAAAAACAAAATTTTAAAAAAATCTAGAATTGGAACATACAGAAAGAAAAAAAATAAAAAATAAAATAAAATCTAGCTTATGGGTTTAAAATTTTAAAAAGATTAATATCAAAAAAAAAAAAAAAAAATTGGATCAATAATATAAAATATTTTTTAAGGGATAAGATTAATACTTTTAGGCCATGTTTGTTTGGGTGGACTGGATTAGCATTCCCATGACTAATAGTCTTAGAACTACGAATTCGTTGGATTATGTATCCTATCTTAACTAATAGTCAAGTTTAAAATAATTAATCCGTACTTCAATTGTTCAATCAAACATCGGATTAATAATTTTATAGGACTATTAGTCCAATCTCAAGCTCATGTCCATCCAAATAAACATGGTCTCAGGGCAGTTGGTTGATGAATTTGGATGCAGGGTGCAATTTTTAGATGTAAACGTCTAAAATCCCTACACCACCTCATAGGAGGTTAGGCCATGTTTGATTCACAATACTAATAGTGAGGTATTAAATGGCACAAGTACAGAAAAAAATATATATATATTAAAAAAAATCTAGAATTGGAACATACAGAAAGAAAAAAAATAAAAAATAAAATAAAATCTAGCTTATGGGTTTAAAATTTTAAAAAGATTAATATCAAAAAAATATAAAATTGGATCAATAATATAAAATATTTTTTAAGGGATAAGATTAATACTTTTAGGGCAGTTGGTTGATGAATTTGAATGCAGGGTGCAATTTTTTAGATGTAAACATCTAAAATCCCTACACCACCTCATAGGAGGTTAGGAGTTTGACTTTTTCCTGCTTTTATGTGGATCTTTGCCTAATGAATTGTTGGACTTTTGCTTTTATTTTTTTATATATATATATATATATATAATTGGATGCTTAATTTGATGCAAGTCTCATAATATTTGTATATTATCTCTTGAAAAGAAAAAAATAATAGAGGAAACTAGCAGATTTATGAGTGAAATCTATTTTAAGAATAGCAGAAGTTTTTGAAAAAAGGAGACATGGGAAAAGTAAGCACATTAGAGCTCTTTTACATATTTATTGAATTACAATTTACAAATGAGTTCAATATTATTAATCAAAAGCTGATGAGTTGTAAAATTTACAATCATTATTTATAATAAAAGAAAGACTAATATTTGTGTTAGGATTACAAACGTGAGATAAATTGTGGGAGAGAATATTTATTTTAGGGAAAATTTCAAAAAAAAAAAGTGGTGGGTAAGAAATATAATTACAAAATGATAAAGATACAAGTTTTATTTGCACAATCTAATGCATGAATTAATTGCACACGCATAATTTTGCAATTTTTTTTTTTCTCTCTGTTTTTTGTTGTAAAAAAAAGTGGTGGGTAAGAAATATAATTACAAAATGATAAAGATACAAGTTTTATTTGCACAATCTAATGCATATTAATTGCACACGCATAATTTTGCAATTTTTTTTTTTACTCTCTGTTTTTTATTGTGTTGTGTTGTTTTGTTTTGTTTTGTTTTTTTTATATTTCCATTTTATTTTACATTTATATCTCATTTTTTGAAAATCGTTGTGCATCTGGACTTACTGAATCCAAACCCATTAAGAAACAACCAAATAAAGCAATTTCTTAATTAAGGCAATAAAATTAAAGAAAATAAAAAAATTACAAAACAAATGACAAATTTAAGTGAAGATCAAATTTGAATGTTAGAGAGAAAAATTATATATATATATATATAAGTCTAGTCAAAGTCAAATGCTAAGGACATGTTTGGTAAGAGCATCTCCAACGGTGACTCAAATTTTTCAATAAATTTGAGTAAAAAATGACTCATTTCACTAAATTGATACCACTCGCTCCAACGGTTCACCTTTCACCAAATCTATCCTGGGACAACCGGGTGGTCGACTGGCCGGTTGACCGGTTAGGCAAATTTTTTTTTTTTTTTTTTTTTTTGCGAATTGTCTGAACTTTTTTTTGAACTTTCTGAACTTTTTCGGTTAGGCAAAAAATATATATATATATATTTTTTTTTAACGATTTGAACTTTTTTTCCTGAACTGTTTGAATCTTTTACTGGTTGACCGGTTGGTCAACCGGCCGGGCAACCGGCTGGTTGACCGGTGTACCTCTTTCAACGGTTAGTAACAGTGATTTGGTAAAATCTGTGTCTCGTTCTCAGTTTGATACTTTTTTTGCTGAAATCTCATTTTGATATCAATCTGGTGCAACGGTTGGAGCTTGAAAAAGTAGGTTTTTCATCAAAATTTGAATTTTATGCTGGGTTTGGTTCACCGTTGGAGATGGTCTAATGTATGTTTATATTTACAATATTTTTAGTTTATATTTATAAAATTTTAAAAACTATAAACAAAAATTCATTTGCCATCTAAATTTGTTTACAAGCTTCTGTTAAAAAATTATAAAATTTACTAAATCTTTATAAACACAAAAAAATTGTTTATTTTTATATTCATTATTTTCTGCTTCTTTCACTCCATCTAGCCACCATCCACCACTCATCATCACCATTGACCATTGTCACTGATAACCTTCTCTGGTCACTACCATTCGTAGTCAACAACCACCTCCTAGCACTGCCAACTACTTCCCATTTTTGAAAATTATTTGCAGCCATTACCTCTGTGTGAAACAATCTTCAGCCGTCATCTCCACCCTTTGGTGATCACCTCTTGGCAAAACTATCTTTAGTCACCATTTTTAACTATCAACAATTATATTCGACCACCACCTTTTGCCAGTTGCCTCTCATTTATTTTTAAAATAAAATTTTAAAATACTTATGTATCAATTGAATTTTTATTAAAAATAAGCATAAATATATTCAATATTTTCTGTTTGTAAACCTTACCAAACAACATTTAAATAATTCATAAATTAATATCCAAGCAAAATAATGTGAAATGGGCGTAGAAATAGAAAAGCTTCCTTTTGTTGTGTGCTGAATTTTTTTGAAAAAAGTTCCCACTTGCCTATGTCCCCGACATTCCTCAATTCACACCACCACCATCGCTGACTTTCACTCTCCTAATTCCCCAAAGCACTTTATGCCTTCCCCTTTCTCAGTTTATACCAAATTTGAGAAGGAAAAATGGTGAAATTCTACTCTCAGTTTTATTCTAAAAATAAGGTGAATATTGTAGATTTAAAGTTCATAAATGTGGATCACATTTAGAAAAAATTTATTCTATAGTTACAATTTTCTTAGTAATTTTCTAAATACTTGTTCTGAATTCTTGGTATTGTTGTTTTGCAAAGCTCTAACCAACATATATTGCATAACAATTGGCTTTGTTATGGCCTAATTGGTGAAAAATTCATTCTTATGGGGTCAAATATTATTTAGTCTAATCTTTTTTATTTATTATTTTTTTTGTGATAAGGACACAAGTTAAAAAGTTATTGACAGTCGACAGTGGTTGATGGTGGTGAGGTGAACAAATAGATAACACTGAATAGATAAGTGACAAGTGTACATATATGTAACATTTGAATATATAGGCAGGGACGAAACTAGGAGCAGTGCCGGCTCAGATATTTTGGGGGCCCAAAGCGAACTCTTGATATAGGGCCTCACATACATTTAAAAAATAAAAAATAAAATTTTATGATCAAAAGATCATATATTTAAATTTTGATCATATATATAATTATTAAAATTCATTTAAATATATAACAAAGTTTACAATAAATAAAAAAAATTAAAATAATTCAAGCTGAAGTACTAAATAAAAAGTGAACAAATTGTACACCTAAACACCACTCTTCTCATATTTTTAACTACAAAAATGCTAATCTAATTTGCATAATTCAATTTATTAACCAAATTATTTTCAATGGATTAAATTGTTAATACATTCAATTTTTCTTGTGACATAATTAAATGAAGATAAAATTTGATAAAATTTAATCAATTTTAAATTTGAAGAGTTTTTTTTTCCAAAAACAATTTTATTTGGTATAATTAATTGTGTTCCATACGCAATCCATGCATTTGAGAAATAACCATCCATTAATTTAAAATAATGCGCCATATCAATCGACTTTTTAATTTTTGCCAATAAAAACAATCATTCATTTGGTTTAAATAATTCTTCACAACAATCAACTATTAGTTTTGAATTTTCACCAAACTTTGCCGGATTTTTCAAATTTAGATAGAGTTTTTTTTTTTTTTTTTTTTTTTTTTTTTTTTTTTTTTTTTTGTATTTAAATAAAAAGAAAAAATTCATATTTAATTAAATTGAAATTACAGAATAAGAAATCATGGGACTAAATCATACTGAATATTATAACTTGATGAACAGAAATATATAACAAAATAAAATACTGAAAGAAGAAATGGAAGCAAACTGAAGCCTGTGCCATACCATAGTCTCCTTGAAATAGATTCGCCACCTCATCGCGGATACTAGAGATATGCTCACGTCTGTCTCCCAGGATACGACGGTTAAAACCCGTTAAGTCAGAAGCACCTTATGTTTAGCTTCGGGGAATTGACAATGGAAGCACTTTCTCACATATGAAGGATTATATGATAGAAGTAGACTAACTATAATGCTAGAGAGCAAAAAATTCTATGTTCAAAACCAAAGAAGATTGTCTGCTTTTATACACAATGGGGGAGAGATGCGGAGTCTTCTAGCAGCAAATGCAAACTTAAATTCTGCAAAACTGAAGAACTAAATGCACTAAAACAGATGGGAAATAAGTGTGTAAGTTACACACTCTATATACACATATTTGTCTATCTCGAACTCGGAGGGAGAGTCTGCTAGATTGACAGGCATAGGTGTCTTAGATAGCTGGGGCAGAATTGGGGGCGGAGCTGGCCCCGTTGGTATGTCCGTATCTGCCTGGACATTTGGTGCCTCATTGGGTGCTAGGATTCCTGGTGGGGGAGGAACTGGGTGTAAAGCAGATGCTCCGGTTTGTTGTTGTAATCTGGTAATTAACTCTGCCTGCTGGGCCATGATCTCGGCCTGTTGTTTGGCAAATTCATCTCGGCGAATAGCATCCTGCTGCATGGCTCTCATGGTGTCTTGCATCTGACGCATCATTTCCTCA